ACACAATTCCCATGATTCCCTAGCACTAACCCTAAAAGTGGACTCAATAGCAAATCACCGCAGCTGCTCCTGCCTTTTGCATTCCCCCACATTATTACCATCTTGATCACTCTCTGATGTTGTTTGGCCACACATCTTCCAGTTTTCATCTGTGAAATGTTGGAGGGCATGTTGAGCATAGAGGTGGCTTGGCTAAGATGTCTTTTGTGTTCCTATTTCCTTGCCATTGTCCCCGCTCCACATTCATTCTCCTCTCCCTTAGGATCTTCATCTTCCCAGAATAAGGAGTCAAGACAAGTGGTGACTGTTCTTCTCTTCCTTAATTTGGTTGCATGCATGGAGAAGACATATTGTTAAGCTGACCCACAAGAAGGAGAACCTCACCCAACTACAAACCTGAGGTTTCCATCAAATGCTGCCATGGAATTTAAAGTGGAATCATAATGCTATAATTGTGTAACATGAAATGTCTCTCTCTCTCTCCCTCTCCCTCTCCAGGACTCTGGAGAGCAGGATTTGATTCCCCATTTGGTTATGGAAACCCACTAGGTGACCTTTGGTGAGTCACACACTCTCAGCCCCAGAAAATCCTGTGATAGGTTTGTCTTAGGGTTGCCATAAGTCGGAAACCACTTAAAGGCACACAACAAGGACAGCAACAAATAGGGCATAAATGGATGGAATACAGTTAGTATCTTATGAATTTGTAGGTTCCCTGTGGAAACAGATGGACATTTCTATCTGATGTGTAATGTTCATATTCAGTTCAAGCTTGTGGAAACAGTTACGCACAAGGTGCCATTGTACATAACAGACATACATGCTATAAACATCAGTCCCAGCCGAAATTGTCAAGAGTACTCTGAGTCCCCCCAGAAATGATCTGGCAAAATTGGATGACCAAGACTCCTATGTAGTTGAGTCTCCTCAGGAAATAACAATCAGAAGTGTACTAAATGATGAATCATGAAGAAATATTAACAATTGTTATTGAACTCTCCTAGGAATAATCTATAAGTGTATATTTATTAAAAACATTTAAACATACAAACATCTTAAAACAACATAATATAACATAACAAAACTTAACATAACATAAACTTCCATAGTTCTTTGACAGTATGTACAGATATTAGTCAGCTTATCACATCTTCTAATTCTTTGTTTATTTTCCCCCTTTCCATTAGCTCTCTATATTCTATTTCTGCTTTTAATCATTTTAATCATTTTAGTAACTCATAATTTTGTCTCTACTTTAATGTTTCTTATTATTTCTTTTCCCTCTTATTGTTACAAGTAATATTTAGTATGTGTTCTTTACTTGTTCATTTGTTAACTTTGCTATTTCATCTCCACTTTGCTTTTATATATTTGTCGATTGGAGCCCATTCTCTTTCCACTTTAGTAATGTCTTTTTGATTAATTAAAGCCGTTAGCCTGTCCATTTCCTTCATTTCCATTATTTTTGTTAACCATTCCTCTGCAGTAGGTATTTGTTCTTTCTTCCATTTTTGGGCAACTAATAATCTTGCTGCAGTTATCATATAAAGTATCATTCTCCAATATTTTTTCTCAAGTGTCTGTCCCAACTTATTTGTCATGTTTAGTAGATATAGCTCTGGACATAATTCAAATTTGATTTTCAAGATTTCTTGTATTAGAATATGGATCTTCTTCCAATATGTTTTCATCTTGGAGCACTTCCACCAAACATGTATCCAGGAACCAACATTTTGGTTACATTTCCAACAGTTACTCGTCTTTACTTTATATATTCTTGCTATCTTTAATGGAGTTAGGTACCACCTTTGCTCCATTTTCAATAATATTCCTTCAGATCTTGTGAGCAATTTCCCTGTTCTTATCCTAGCATTCTCCCAGCTTTCTAGTTCTATTATTCACCCAATATCTGTTGCCCATTTTATCATATTTTCAGATCTTTTTTCTATTTCATTTTCTCTTTCCATTAAAAATTTATAGATTTTGCTTACTCTTTTTGACCGAGGTTGCATTAACAACTTATCCAAATCTGTTAACTCTTCTTGAAATTCTTGTAGTCCATCCTAAATATTTTCTCTTAGTTGGGTATATAATAGCCAATGCATTCTAGGGTCTAGTTGTTCCAATTCCTCTATTGATTTAAGAACATATCCTTGCTCATCTGATTTTTCCAGTATATCTTTGTATCTCATCCATGTTGTCACTGCCATCCATTTCCCAAAGAAAGCTTCATGTGGAGATATCCAAAGTGGTAACCTTCTGTACGTGTTCTTTTTAATTCCATCCCATATATTCAATAAAGATCTTCTGATGACATGGTGTTTGAATTCTTTATGTACTGTTGCCTTCTCATATCCTAGGTATCCATGCCATCCAAATCTATTATTGAATCCTTCAATATTTAATATGTCTGTCCTTTCCAGTTCAATCCAGTCTATCAACCAGTCTAGTGAGAATTCGTTTTATGATAATTTTCCAAATCCGGTAGATTCATTCCTCCATCCTTTTTCCCCATGGTCATAGCTTTCCATTTTACTCTTGCTCTTTTTCCCTTCCATACAAACTTTTTCAAGTCCTTATTCCATTCCTGAAATATCTTCGTATTATGTATGATCAGTATGCATTGGAATAGAAAATTTATTTTTGGGAGAATCATCATTTTTATGGCCTCTACTCTTCCTGTTAACGTTAGGTTTAATTTACTCCATTTTTCTAAGTCCATTTTAATTTATTTCCATTTAACTTTGTAATTATTTTTGAATAGATCAACGTTTCTTTTGGTGATCCATATTCCAAGGTATGTTATTCTATTTAATAATTAGTGGAGGGATTATGTTTTGGGATATATTGTATGGTTTTATTGTTGTAAGCCGCCCTGATTGGGTCCCCAAAGGGCGGGATATAAATATATTTTTTATTATTATTATTATTATTATTATTATTTCGTATCGCACAATTTGTTATTTTCTCTAAAAGATTTTCTTCTCTTTTAGAAAGATTTTTTGTAAGTATTACTGTCGTGTTATAATTTATTTTGAATCCAGATATCTTACCAAATTCTTCCAATGTTTGAAAAACTTCCGTAATTTGTTCTTGGGGTTCCTCCAAAATCAAGACCAAATCATCAGCAAATGCATGAAGTTTGTCTTCTTTACCTTTTATTTTCATGAACTCTCCTGGAATAATAACAGCTACTTGCAATCTATCCTATGTGCTCATTCTTGGGGTTAAGCTACACTAGGCACATGAACTTTTAAATACACACTGTGCTTGTAAGAGTCTTCACCTGATATTCTGTATTCCAACGGATCTGTAATTGCTCTATATTCACTAAAGCAACAGTCATGATTGTGGCTCTATTGTCACAATTGTGCACGCCTATCAAACCTATTTTAACATAGGCACATTGAGAGGGAAAGAACCATTCAGTTGGCAATTGGGAGCAGAAAGATGAAAATCAAAAGCAGGACCTCTGTTGCAAATAGTTGTTGCAGCATTGCTTGCTGGTGTGTGTGTGTGTGTGAAAATGTCCTCTTCCTGCACCTCAGTTGCCAATTGAATGGATCTCAATCTCTCAGTGCAGCAGCAGCTGCTGCTGCTACCGCTTTTATTATTATTATTATTATTATTATTATTATTATTATTATTATTATTATTTCTATCTTGCTTTCCTCCCAAGAATGGGACCCAAAGAGGCTTACAGTCAAAAAACCACAGTACAATTAAAAACAAAATTGTCTACAAAATTGACAATTAAAATGGTATTAAACTATTACAATATTAAAAAGATCATTTGTTTAAAAATAGCATACAATTTTAAAAAGACAAAATAACTCAAAAAACCATACACTTTAAAACAATACACCACCCTCAGGACTGTAGTTCTCTACATCAAAATTCTGTTTTAAACAAAAATAATGCACTTTGACACAACTTTTATGTGCTGTAGCTCCATTCTATGGAATCCTGGGATTTGTAGTTTTACAGCTTCTTGAGCCTTCTCTGCCTAAGCATGCTGGTGCCTCCAAAAACTACAAATCCTAGGATTCTGTAGGATGGAACCATGGCAGCTAAAGTTGTGTCAAACTATATTATTTCTAAAGTGTAGATGCACTGAAGTAGGCAATCTGGGGCTTTATATTTAAGGACGGATGAATAATAACAGTTGGGGAAAGTAATATATTCCCCCCCCCCCCGTACCTACAAGTAGGCAAAACTAACTACTTGTCTATCAGTGTTGAGCCCCCACATCTGAAAAACAATTCCAGGGTTTCTACACAACTGCTTGTCAAATGGTTGCACCTGTGAAAAACTCCACTAATACCACTGTGAAGTGAATGCATCCATTTCATAATGATCAAAAAAGTCAACCGCATGTTGAAAGCATCTTTTATGTGTGTATGACACTCATAGGATTCCATCCTGTCTGTGCAGAAGAAGGGATTTCAGCTGGTGCAGAAGGGATCAGAAAAGCTACCAGAGATCTCTCTTCTGCATTGTTCTTTAAAGAGGCAGGTGACTTGTTCTCTACACCAAATCATTGGATGTTATCACAGAAAGTGATAATAAAGTGGAAATGAGGCATT